AGATGATATTTTAATAATTTTAATTATCTTATCTTACTATTTTATTGTGATTTGACGGTAAACAAATATAATAATTATTTTAATTAATATCACAATATGACGCAAGTATACTATCTCAGTGGAAAATATATTCATGTTATTCAGGAACTGTTATTTAGTTAATTTATTCCGTCTTCAAGATGTTCTCTCGTATAGTAAAATTTGGGAGTAAACGTTGTTAGACCCGCAGGTTAAGGCCCGTATCTGGGCCCAAACGGGAGGGAGTGACAGGTGGGAAAAAGCAGCAACATTGCACAAACGGTCAGTCGCCAACTTCTCACGTTTTCATTTGAGCCGTGGGGTTATTACGGATAGAAATCTGTCGTTGACAGAGCTAAACAACACAACATATCTGATAATACAATCCACACAGTCATAAATTATCCTGCTGACAAAGATATTTGTCCACAGAAATATTCCAGAACACACAGTTATGTAGTATTTGCATGTTCATGATTACGGAAAACAAATCAAATAGCTTAAATGTTTTTTTGAAACATACACAGAAATTTTACACAATGTATCCATTTTTGACGAGGTAAGTTGGTTCAAAAATTACTCTTAAATTATTGTTTACCTCGATATAAAATACGAATCACAACGTGGACCATAACAAAATTATACCGAAAAATTCCAACGTGCGTGTATCGATTTTCTTTCAACCAATTTTGAAGTTTGCGAAATTAAATACCTAGGCTACTGACATATTTTAGTTGTCAATCCAATTAAAAATAAGCTGCGACAAATGTACAACAGCGTACTCTTAAAGCGCACTGAAACTGAATTATAGACATGAAAATTTTCAAAAATTAAGTCGGGGTGATAAACAGAAGGTCAGGATCTTCTTCTTCTTCTTCCAGAAATCCGATCTATAACAGCAATGAAAAACAGCTGAAAAATGACTTGAAACGTTACTTCAAAATTTGTTCAACATTCTCTTCCAACAGACTATTAGTACAATAAAGTGTACGCAACAATAGCGCGTTTCATAAAATAAAATGTGTATTAAAATGTATTAAAGAAGATCTGAATGGACAAAAATGTAGTAATTAGATTCACAAATTTCGGTTTTAAAATTTTTTATGACACGGAAAGAGCATAAGTTAACTACGGACATTTTTTCTTCAAAATTTGGGATTTTGGAACATTGTTATGAAATCACTATTACCATTTCTCATCGATTCGCGTGCCGCAGGGTTATAAACGTGGGCCAAACTATTAAAACTCTAGGGCAATTTATTAATAAATCCGACTAAATTAGGACTGCTAATGCCAACGGGTTGGCATGTTAAGCCACTAAATCACTTTCTTTAGTGATAAATCTTCAGTGCTTCCGCTAACCAAGCGTAATTTATCTTCTTGTAATTTGCACAAAACTTTAAATTGTTCATCAGCAGGACTCGGTCGTCATTAAAATGAGTAGTTATTCACAGCGACAGACAGGGCCACAGCCAAATACTGACGACGTTAACAGAACATGCGGATAATTTTCACGTCAGCCCTGAAAATGGCAGCAGTACATTCTTCCGAAACGTTGGTTTTCAGCCGTATGACTGCACGGCACAGTAACGACGCGGACCATCATCTCATCTCACCGTCAAGTCTGAAGCTATACTAAATGAAACTTGTTTTCCGATATGAAGTGGTCTAAATCTTTATCGTTACTGGTTCGGAGTGATAAGGTTTGTGAGAACCTGTGTTTAGGAAAAAGAATCTACATGTTCGAAAAACGATTAGGACAAAGTGGTCAGGTCATGTTCGGAGGATGGACGTATCTTACACACGAATATCAGCTTCTTTAATACCGACTGATCCTGACGAAGAAGACTCGGACAAGTCTTAGAGGGACGCTTACAACGCTGGAACAGAATCATGTCATTTGGTGGACAAATTTCGTGACCAGAAAACGATAAATGCGTAAATAACAAACCTGAGATGTACATTTCACGTTGTTCATTTCCAACTGAACCTTAAGCAGAGTGCAACTTTTGACAGAGAATGGTCCCTGAGGCTGTACACGAGCATTTCCAGATATTTTACGTAAGTGGACAAAGACCGTGGAACTGTACCTGCCCCGCCATTTCGAAGTCTCTGTCTGACTGCACTGGGACATGATTTTCGCCCGGGTAGGTGAGCCCAGCTCCTGCAAACATTTTATGTGCCGTTAATTACATGTGGTGACAGGGCGAGCTTTGTGTTATTAGCCACAGGGAAAACGGGATGTAATATTCAAAGGAAGACCCAGGCTGTCGTGAGAGCTATGTAAATAGCGCACTAACTTGACTTAAGTTTCGCGGTCGGAAATTGAGTGTTAGGCTAGTTTCCCCACGCAGAACTGAATGTATGAGCTCTTGTAGTTAGCTTCCAACAAGATTCTCGGCGTAGAAGACACGTCCCGCCTTCTTGTTATGAAACGAAGACTAAGAACTTCTGATACGCGAGCAAGTCTTTGAGTTAACAGCCCAGTAATATGAGGATGGGTAAAACTGTACGTATAATGAGGTATTCGGTAATTTATATACTTCATAAAATATGAGTAGCACGAAGAGGCGAGGGAGGTAATGCTACTTTATTATTCTGAAACCAAAAATCCACGAGAAAAACCCGCTTTTCCACGGTAGCGTAAATAGTTCAGATACTCTGAGCCGTAGCATAAGAAGATAATTCTAAATGATACTGACGATGACGTAATGTAATACTTTTGACTGAAAAAATAAATAAAAAAAATTATGGATAATGTCCGAAATTTTAGCCAAAACCGTAGAAAAATAATTTAAACTTGTGTTTTCGAAAGACGTTCGCTACACTAATACACTTCTCCGCTTTAAACAGATACACAATTAAGTTCAAAGTTTCCTAGTGACGCTTTCTCCTTTTCACTCCCCTATTCCGCATCAAATGATCGGCACGTGACCGACAAAATTCCACAGCCACGCTCAGTCTGCGACACGCATTGAACAAAAGAGAGAAGAGGATTTTGCAGACGTTCTGGAAGCAGTGATGCTGTCCCACCAACTGACACACACACACGCGTATGGAGAAGTGGACGTGTAACTCCATGCTTTCATAACCTCGTTACTGTGTGGTGAGTAGTTAGGTTAAGTCCCCAGCGGCTTTACTCCAGGAAAAATCCCCGGTAAACATCGGGAGGTACCCGAGCCAGTTCGGACATTGTAAAAAAGACTAAATTCCTGTCCTGGCGGTAATCAAACCGCGGACGTCTATCTCGAAGCCCTGTTTCTATATTGTCTGAGCAGTCTCAGTTCAGAATACGGGCTGCAAAGAGAAGAATTCCAAAGCCTCTTCTGGAATTCTAATTCAAGTCATGAAACCCATAGCTCGCTATTTCACTGAATAATGTTGTAGGCGGAGTTTGCAATGCGTTTCTTCTGGAATCCAACAGCGTAGATAATTTTAGCCGAGTGGCTGCCATTCGTAATTCGGAGGACTGACCTATGACACGACAAGTTTTTTCCAGAGACTGTGGGAAACCACAAATGAGCAGAGACAGCTTCCAATTTTTAAACTCGAAACCGCGGCGACACTTTGAACGATACTAACACCCACTGACACATGAAGTGCATGTTAAGAGCCTATTCGACTGTGCTAATCTAATAAACACTTTTCAGCTTCGGAGAGGCAATTCGACATTTCCAGGCAAAAGATGCAAATCTCTAATTGAAACAGATTATACACGTCACGTTGAAAAATGGAATTAAGTTCCGTGGTCGTAATGGGAGTGAAGATCCGCTTTGTGTTTTGATGCCTCGCGCCGTGTTGCTGCAAGGACGCGGCGTCATCACGCGCCTGTTTAATAGCGCTATTCAGAGGACGGCTTTTGTGGAGCTTAATTCCCAAAATGGATGGAGGGATTTAGCTGCACGTATGTCAGTCAGCTGCCTTCGATTCCGATTTGGTGGAATATTCAAAGGATGCAAGGCTCCTCTTGTGACGTCACACGCTGCTTTACGAACGCAGACGAGGCGAAACGGCGAAAACCACGCCTGACTCGTCGCTCTAAGCAACGCGACACGTGTGTTCCAGGAACACTTTCTTGTTACGGATGCCAGGATAAAGATTTTACGTCCGTTCTGTAAAAAGGAATATTCATAATACGGCGACTGTTCTGAATTTTAGCCCCGAAGACAGACCACTGCAGAAGAAACACTTTTGTCAAATAACTTACGATCCATCAAGTGTGTAACAGGGTTTCCGTATTAACATTATCCGTGCTGGGGGACAAGATAAATTGACTTGAAGCCAAGCTCTTCCAAGATCTCTGGAAAGTTCTACGAATTCGAAAGAAATGCATTAAAAATACAAATAAAAGAACATACGAAAATCAGAACGCGTTAAGCAACTGCCTGCTTCACAGCGGTCCCCATTTTGCAGATGAAGTTCTCACACTTATTCTGAAGAACGACGAACGATTTCCACTGGCTTTTCGTCTGTCGTCCCTAAATTAATTATAGATGCGGCTTTTCCTGAGCAGCAGAGGGCCGCTTGTTAATGTCACCTGTTCCGACAGACAACTACGTCTACGCGTTGTTTGTTTTCCAACTTCATTTCAAAAGCATTTTTCGTTCATCTCACGCGGGCTACACGTCCCGCCCGTCTTGTCCCATTTGGTTTTATCACTTTAACGATTTATGGTGGAGTACAAGTTACAAAGTTCCTAATCACGTGATTTCAGGTCATTGAATGTCACGAAATATTCGTCATAAATGTAGATCGAAACAACGACATATCTTTTACAGTTTCATTTCATTTCGTCTCTTGTAAATATGTAACTACTGGAAATCCCTAGTAGCCAAAATTTTGCATAGGAAAAACTACACATCTATCATTAATAATGCGGATTTGATTAATGTTAATGTCTCCATTTGATGCAGTCACGATCAACATGTCTTCACTACATCAGTACAGGGTCTTCAAGACGAGATACTAGTTCAGTCGCCACGTTCGTGCGAAGTGTCCTTCCATCGCGTTCTATTTCTTCTACAACTCCGCTTGCATCGACATCCTGAGTCAAATTCTCTCAATTTTTTATGTCCTTTTAACCTAAATCCAATTTCTGCAAAAGACCGTACACCACAACTTCCTGGGCCCGCAAATCAGAAGTCCGTTCCGAAACATTTTCTTTCTACTTGGATGCACTGACCAGCCTCAGGGACAAGTCTTAACCTAACCGTCCTCCTCGGTGGTCAGGATTTCGATTTACATTCGCCCTTCTCTTCTGCAGTTCGTAATTTAAGCAGTGACAACCGCTAAGACCAGATAGCTGACCGCTGCATAGGAAGATGATTACTTACAGTCACTTCACTAATGAACGAGATTCTCATCCCCTTGAAGTCTGACGCAGAGTTAGCAAGAGGCAAAGATCTGAATACGACAGAGATCTATCAAGTTACGGCGAAAGATGGTACAGATGACGGTGATAATAACGACAGCTAATTGAGGTTATGTTACCAGCAGCCGAAGGTTCGCCACTGCACGGCATCAGACGCGGAGCTCAGCCACTTCCACCCTCACCATCTCCCTTCATAGAATCTGCTCTCCATTAACTTCCCATTTCCTTCTCGGTCTTGCAACTGGTGGGCTACTCGAGGCGTTTCCCCACAGAAATTTTGTGTTTTCTTACCCTTTCACTTATATGTTACATTCCCAGCGCAGCGTGAACTCCCAGATTCAACAAATCTCGACACTGACAGGCAACCCACGTAAGTCATTATGTGTAATATCCTAGCTGAAGTCTTACTTCGCGTTAAATATTTTCCTGAGCACTTTGCTTTCACAGAAAACTTAATTTATATTATTGCTTATAAGTTAGATAACCTTCATTTTCATACAAAACAACTCTCAAAAAGTATTTCTTTACACTTTCGTGAAAAAGAAGAGAAATTATTAAAAACGAGGATTATGTTAAAACGAAAAATAATAACTTCTAGAAACGGATGTAATTATTCAGTTTCAGAACTCTGAAAACGAAGATGAGAGTTTCGGTAATAAAGAGAGGCTTCTTTCTGAACCCAGACACTGTGCCTCGTGGGACGGAGTTAGAACGTATTCTAGTGTCGTGAGTGGTCAGTCGCCTTTTCTTACGCTGGGTGTAGCCCGAAGCGTGACCAGGCTTCAGATTTGGTCCGAACTTCGTAACGAACAGAAAGGTCCTTCGTTCTACCGGTAACTGAAGCTCAGTCATTTAATGACTTAACTACGAAAATTGTAACTAATCTATCGTGATTCATAACAAGTAAAAATAAATTAACATTTAGAGAGAGAATTTATCCTATCAACATTTACCGAGAAAT